TCTAAACAATTCGAACCTATAATCTCAAATATGCTTCATATTATTAATCATTTCCGTAACTCAAATCGGGCCCTAGCTAAGCTAAGAGAGTTAGAAGAAAATGAAAACTTAACTCCAAAATATCCCTGTATTACAAGATGGGCAACATTTTTAAAAGCCACAGAGACTCTTTTATCAACTCGAAATAGTATGCGAATTATAGCTATTACGGATTCGGATCTTTTAACTATTCAAGGAAATAATCATAATAAAATAATTAATACGATTGAAGATACAAGTTTTTGGACAAAACTTGATAAATTTTTTAATATATTAAAACCATATGATTATATAGTTAAAATTTTAGAATCCGATAAAGTAACACTTGGGCATATTTCAGTATGTTGGGCATGGCTCAGAAAAATTATCAACGAATTACCTGATGATAGTAATTTTTTAGACTTTAAAGACTTAATGTTAGATGAAATTGATAATCGGTGGGAAAAAATTTACAATCCAATTTTTGTAATTACATGGTTCTTACATCCACACTATCACGGTAAAGGAATAAGAGAGGAAAGACTTCTGCAATTACAAGAAGATGCGTATAGCCTATTTTGTTTGCTATATCCAGATAAAGATAATGATGCATTTATTGATGAATGGCTTATGTATCAAAATTATGAAAAATTTTTTAACAAAAATTTATCACTTAACCATCCTAGTATTACTCAATCACCGTTAAGATATTGGCGAACTGTATTTATTCATGCACCAAATTTAGCCGAGTTTGCTTGTAGACTTTTTTCTATACCGCCAAATTCAGCAACATCTGAAAGAGTATGGTCATTAATGGGTAATATTCACACAGAACAGCGTAATCGATTAACACCTTCTAAAACTGCCAAAATGGCAAAAATTGCCTGGTATTTAAAAGGTAAGGCAGATAAAATTAGTTCGACATCAACAATTAATATGCTAGATAAAGATGACGAATTAGATGACTGTGATTATGAAGTAGATGAAATAATAAGTAATTTAGAAGAAGTTTCTTCAAAAATTATTGATGATATAGAAAATTTAGATCCAGATAATCGAAATGACTTACCAACTACCTCTCTTTTCGAATTT